GTCCCGACCAACTCGGTATTTGACATATTCCAACCGGCCCGTATGAATTGATTATTTAGCCTGCTCGGCCCGAACTGTGATTTTATGCGACCCGGCCGGCCCGAAACCGACTTCAGATCCGGAGAACCAGCCCTTATACAAATTGAAGCAATAAAAACATCGGAAAAGTCAATTGTATTATTAATTGAAACAACATATCTAACGGAACCATTGACTGAAGAACATACATTAGTTAAACAATTATATTTAATTATACAATTATATTTAATCCAGACAATGAATTTTATAGCTGAGGTGACATTAAGATTGAATTGCAATCCTTCATTCATTTACAAGTATTTCGGTTGTGCGATATAGATATACATCGAACAATCAACGTACAAAAAGTTTTTAAGCAATAGTATAATTGGGCGCATCCGCATAGTGCGGATTGTCGCCGTTTCGATTTAACATCACAAGAAGAAGGCGTATTAATTCTCAATACTCCGGAGGACGATTTATTACTTAATCATCAATTCAATCATGTTGTTTTAATCTGTAAACTTTCACAGATAAGAATTTTGGTTTATATTCCTATATTTTTTTTCCGAGAAAATTTTAGAATCAAAAAGTGTAACAGCCTCGGTCTCTTCTTTCTCTTACCGATTGTGTATGATTATCACTATTCTCTATAATATTGTTTGTTTTTGCACTCGATAACGACCTAATTGTTCGATTACTCACAGGCGTTCTATGTGAGAGCTGCCTGTTAACTGTAGTTATTTGTGGTGTTGTTGTTTTACGATTCTTCTTTTCCATTGACTGCCCTTACGTTAGATTCGTCTCTGTATGTGTATGTATCAAAAACAGTTAAAAACCAAGGAAGGTATCAATATCACATCAAATTTACCATATTAAATACAAAAATAGAAAAATACTTACTGAAACGAGAAATATCTAAAATAATTTCCCTTTACTCCCTAAACAGGCTCCGAAATATAGTTGAAACATTTTATGATTGTTTATTCACAAAAAGCGTGGTCGCGACTAAATTTTTAATAACTTTTGATAGAACGCAGTTGGGTCACTGTAGGTTCCATCACTCGAAAGTCAACACCTATACGCATCATTTTGTCTGTTGCTACGGATTCCATCAAATTTTTGGGGCAGTTTTATTCTGCCTTAAATACATTGCAAAAGAATTCTAATCAATAATTATCCACTCAAAATAAAATTGAGCTTGTAATCGTTTAAATGCACTTGAACCACACTTAGACTATATTAATGATTTGAATAAATGCACAAGCTTAAATCACTAATGTAGTCTAAGTGTAGTTCAAGTGCATTTAGACGATTACAAGCTCAATTTTATTTTGAATGGATAATTATTGATTATAATTCTCTTGCAATGTATTTAAGGCAGAATAAAACTGCCCCGAAAATTCGACGAAAAATCACGAAAGGAAGCACTTTTTTTTTCTTGGCAGTTAGATCATATACTATAGACCAATAGAAACATTGATGGTGCTTATGATTATAAACGAAAATCCATGCTTATCCTAACTTACATTAGTAATATACATATTTCATAAAGTGTTGAAAAACGGGCCAAGTCTGACCGGGCCGGCCGGGTCGCATAAAATCACAGTTCGGGCCGAGCAGGCTAAATAATCAATTCATACGGGCCGGTTGGAATATGTCAAATACCGAGTTGGTCGGGACGGACCGCTAAAAATATGGCCAGCCCTAGTGGATAACCCTTTTAAGTCATTTTCATAAATAGTTCAAAAATTTTGTAACTCAGTCAGGATCGATTCAAAATACCTCGTAGTCTTAAAATATAATCCATAGCTGTGCTGCATGATCGTACCATTCATAGTGCGAAAAGAAACAGTTTATACTTTTCAAGTTTTTCAGAAAAGTTAGACGTGCGCTGCGAACGTTGTTACAATTTCACGAATGAATAATCACATAGAGAGCCTCAAGAAAAATATTAGAAATATAGACGTAAATGTTCAGTTTGGGCTTGGAGATAGATTCAAATAACCTGCAGTACAGTATAAGACTTGGATTGATCAGATTTTTCTCTTTTGTTTATCTGAGTGAAGCACTTCTTTGTATCAAATCAGAAGTAGTTCACTTTAATCGTTTACAGCGATATCATAACGCATCCGTTACTTAGAAATATTGCCAGAATAGGCAACTTAATCCTACAAAATGACAAGATCCAAAATTGAATTTGAATCAATAAATTTTGCTTTTGGGGATCCAGATTTCCAGAAACTAGAGTGCAGAGTTTCATATGTCATCATATCTTTTACAGGAAAAGCCAGTAAGTAAAGACGTAAAAATAGTTCTCTCGTTACAGATGAGATTATTTATCTTTTCTTAAATTGTGCGTGCGTACGTTATTATTTTGGAACCGAGACGTGTTGATAGAGAAGCTTGAAAAATAGCTCAAAAGTTCATGAAACAGGTCGCAAAGCTGAATAATCACCACTTAATAAAAACCGTAATGCTGTAACAGAGATGATTTTTCGACTATCTTAGCAATAAATAAAGTTTTCTAGAAAAACGTTTCTCATTCGGCAGCCCAAAGCCTCTGCTATAAACCAGTATCAAACATGAAACGTAAAGTGTCTTTATTCGCTGAGATCTGAGCGTTTCTCAACTCCACCAGAGACTTCAGGACTTTTTTCGTTAATGCTGTAATAACTGGATTAAAGCTCCAGAATAACCTCAAAACTTCAGGAGTTATTAGAACGAGAGAGATCTACAAAATGACGCAAGAACCAACTCCTCAGCTTGTGTATTAATTGAGAAAAACTAAAATCTAGTGGCAAAGACGTAAAGGTTACTTACCGGTTGCTTCAGTATAAAATACTTTTATTACAAACAAGTGCTCTGTTTCTGAGAAAGAATTTTTTTTTAATAGTATCAACGTTCGATCAAAAAGAAAAAAATCAATCAGATCAAACTGAGGTAATCACTGAAAATAAATAATTATGTAAATAAGATACTACTTGATTATGCTCAAACTTGAAAATACAAAGAATTATTATAATAAGCAATTGCGCTTTTTTTCTTATTAAAATTGAAAGTTTGGAATTAAATACTTTGAAGAAGTTTGTATTCGTATGTGCGTACCTAAAAGTATTTACTTGATAACCCTACACATTCTTCAACGCAAAAATATAATCGCCTTATCTTGATCTAGATCAGAACTGGCCAACGTTAATTCATTTCAACTGCTCTGCAACTTCGACTCAACTTCGATAAGAATTGTTTGTAATTTTAAATCTATGTTCGGCAATGAATGCATGACACTTTTGAGAAATCAGTCAAATTTATATTCTATCTGAAAAAGCCTCTTTGTATTTCCGAAAGTGAAACGGAACGTTTCATCGGTGTATTAATAGTGATTGGTATCTATTCATTCCTGCAACAACGTTTCTTTTGGACGAATGCTACCAGTGTTGAATCTATATTGTCAGTTATAAGTCAAGATTGATTTTTACAAATAAAAAAGATTATACATATTGTTGACAGTTCAATCTAGCAGATTGTAATGACCAAACATTTGACGGAGTTGTTAAAGCTCGCGTATTACTAAATATTGTCAAACAAAATTTCACAAAAGTTCCAAAAGAAGAGAATTGAAAGCCCTAACGAACAAGTAATACCTTTTAAAGGAAGAAGTATTATGAAGCAACATATATGAAATAAACTCAGTCGTTGGGGTTACAAAATGTTTGTTTTAATCGGTGATCAAAATGGTTATGATATGTTCTGATTTTATTTTAATAGTAGTAAAGGCGATAAATCAGAACTTGATTTCTGTACAAGAACTTTTATGGACGTTTTTGAACAGTACCACGTTCAGTTAATCATAACTTACACTGTGATACTTACTATACAACTATTCGATTACAGGTATCGCTATACAGATTGGGTATTAATGCTGCTGATACAGTAAGAACGAATCGATTGACTAATTTGATTGTGAAAACTGCCGAAGAATTGGTCAGTGAAGGTCGAGGAGCAAGGATTATAGCAGAGTTGGAATCATTTGAAAAGAATTGAATCGGATCTCGGTCGATTAAAAAGTTTTTCTAAATTAGTCAAAACCGGTCTAAAATAGTTTGATTATTTTCTAAAAAGTATTTATTTTTCACTGGCTACTAAAACAAGTTGTGTGTCATTGTAACCATTTTTTGATCTCTTTTAACAGATGAGAAATATAGGCACTTGTCCACAATGAATAAATAAGGCAGTGACGTGTTCATTAGACATAATAGAACAAAAATATAGTTAGTTAGACTATATATATATGATACTGCTGACGAAGAAAATGATAACTAGTCGTTGCTTTAGCGCATTATCGCCGCTTTCTTTTTCGTCAGCACCACCAGTTACGATAAAGTCGCGTTTCGCCAATTCAGCTTTCGCCAATACCCCTAAACTATTGGCGAATGTCCTTCTGTAGAAAACACTTCGGACTATAGATGTGCCGAAAAAAATCGTTCGTTTAGTAAGGTAGCTCTCAAACCACAGAGCTTTCCCTTAGATTCCCTTATTCTCTAATTTAAGCGAGTCTGGTACTGATAAAAGACAAGCCATACAGCATGTTTCTGTTATATGTGATTCATTTTCAAATGAGAACCACCTGTGAATAGAACGATCTTTCCTGATATATCTTCATATAGGCATTGCTTTTAGCAGTATTAGTTGGGCAGATAGGTATCAAATTTACTCAACAGTGTTTGAACCTCGACAAACGACCGCATTCTTTTGCCAAAGATTTGGAATATTATACAGTTCTGACGGTACACCCGATTAACTGCATTAACCCTTTCGGGACGGTTTTTTTTTGAAAAAATGAAGCCTATTATTAGAGTGAAAATAGATGTGTATTCAATGAAAAATCATTATCAAAAGTATTTTAAGGTATAATAAGCTTGAAAACAATTAGTTATACATAATCCAACATTACATCCTCCACACTAATATCTTGTGTATTTGATTGATTTTTCACGGTGTATTGTATGAGAGCATACATGACATTTCCTTTGGGCAGCTGTTTTTGAGGCAAGTGGCGATGGATAAGAGAACGCAAAGCTCTTATATGTATACAGGGAATAGGAAAAATATCAATCTAGACGTATTAGAATGTATTAGAAAAATCTAAATAAAGAATGTATGATAAAGTGAGGAAATACTTTACTATGTAATGTTATAAACTACTTAATACACTGGATGTTTACGACACTTTAGAAATACCAATAATTTACTGTACCAACATAGAAAAAGTACTCAACAGACTATGTCTACTTACTTTTGATTGATTTGAAACATATATCATCCTCAAATTTTGAGAA